TGTTGTAATTTCTAAAGGCAGCCAACGACTGGTTTGATTTATAAACGTTGTCAAAATGTTTCATCTTCAATTACTCTCTGTGAACAAACATGACCCACTCGATAGGTACTAGGTTTTATCCTTGTTATAAAGTAAAGGAATTTCACGAAACGTGTCAAAATTTTAATAAAAATTCCTTTGAGGATATAATTATAAGTTTCCTTCAAATAATATAGGGAGCAGATGTTAATGCGATATGATATAATCAGAAAATTATGTCGAATTAAAATAACTACATAATTTTAAAACGCAAACTCGATTAATTACAATACAGACGCAGAAACCTTTGTATGTTAATTACACTTTGCATAATATTTGTTTAAAATACAAAACGGTTAACAAAATTGCACTGCTTAATTAACATTGAAAAATTTCTCCATTAGTTATTCGTTTTATAACACCACTAGCTTGCACTCATGACTTCGTCCACGTAGATTTGTTGATTTCAAAGAGGGAATGTGAAGTTAGTCTGTTATCTATTTTTTTCTCAATTCACCAACTCAAACCAACGCAGGAGCATAGAGGCGATTAAAAAAAAACATGTTACAAACGTTTATACTACATTTCATCTTGGTTAGAGAATGATTTTCAAAAAATCCTTTCTTAGCGGATCTCTACACTCTCTAAAGAACATATCTTTCAAATTTCATGTTTCTAGCTTCAGTGGTTTATGGTTTAGGCTGTGCATTGTCTGTCAGTCAGTCACGGAACTCTTTTATACATATTTACAGGGTACGCCAGAACTCGCGCCCCAGAGAAAAATGCCATATAAGCACGGTGTAAGATATTTAGGTGATGCAGCGCGCCCTGCAAACGTGTGGCCAAACCGGTCACGCTCAATTTAGAGAGAGATAGCGTAATCGGGCCATCATTACTATCAATAAATGAAGGAATGGACCGAAAAGTTGCAGTTGTATAAATGATAATAGTTATAATTAAAAAAAAAATACAATACACGTCATACACCTACTACCTATACATCTGAATTTAAATTCTATAAGAAATATTATCTAAATGATAAAGCTTTGCTTGAACTTTTTTTTATTACATGTGTTTCTGTTGCGAAACGTAAAACAAATACATATTGAATTTTACTTGAAAACAGTTATTATATTAAATAATTAGTAAATTAATAGGTATATTAAAAAATTAAATAAATTAGTACTTAATTAAAAATAATTCTTTTTAAATAAGGTAATTTTATGAAACGGAATATCGAAGACAAAGATTTTTCAAGAACATAAACACCTACATATTTTGTAGGAGCATAATATTCTAAGGGCCAGTTGCATAATCAAATTTAAAGGAGCATTAAATTAAATGTTGTTTAGAATGTGCTAATTACTACGGACTCATTGAGCAAAATTTTACATTCCAAACCAACATTAACTTTAAAGTTTCTTTAATTCGATCATGAAACTGGACCTAAGTAAAATTTAATTCTAAATTTAAAATTATTAGGAATTGTAAAACTGCCGTAAGACACCATCAATTTATTAAAAATTTGTTGTTAATTAATTCAGTTTTTGGACTGTAGTTATTTTTGTATCCAGAGAAAAATTAAATCAGAGAGATCAAATATATAAAGTTTATTTCACACCTTGCGTCGATTACTACTTTTTTAAATAACGTTACTTTGAACTGAACTTTATTTTATAATTATTGAAATCACATTAATTATCACCATTCGCAATCGAATGTAAAGACCACAGACTAGAAGGTAGATAAATAAATAGAATAAACCTTTATTCTTATTTCCAATTTTTTCAAATAAATTTTGTTAGTTATTCAGTTCAGCTATATTTGATTCTTCTACTAAAATAAATAAGCAAATTATTATTACGATTGATAATTATTAAAAACAGCAACCAAAAAAATCTAAATTTAAATTTTGCTTTTCCAATTCTTTTTGCTTTTCTCCTTCGTTTAACTTGTGGTTCAAATTTAACAATATCCTGGACAATCTGGAAAAATAGTTAGTACTGCTTCTTCTTCTAATTTTGGCTTTTTGAGATAAAATTTGACAAAAGCTGTTTCAATCTAGAAAAAATATGTTTTATGGTGTTTATAATTTTAATTAATTTTCTTTAGATTTATACCGTATAACAGCCAGTTTAAATTTCACGAATTATATGTTTTGCTTTAAAATGTGTTTTACACACATGATCCTTTACAGTAAAAATACAGAATTTTTGGAATTATACGATTAGGCATTTTCCGTGGTAGGTATCGGAAAAAAAGATAATTTTTCAATATTTTTAGCATAGCCACTTTTAAACTTGGGCACACAATACTTTTTTCCCATTTCAAAATGTATAAACATGTATTAGAACAATATAAAATTGCTGAAGTAACCACCTCAGGTGCACTTTATTAGGCGGACTTTCGGGAACGAATGGCCCGCATATGTCCTCCTTGTCTAAAAATCGCGTGACCAGTTTGGCCACACTTCAGCCAACGCAGTGCATGCGCTCACTGCATCACCTAAATGTCTTACACCGTGCATATAAGGTAAGATACCAGGAACATGGAAAAAATGTTAAAAAAATTTTATCTATAAAAATTTCGAAGTTATGAGGGTTTACAGTTTGCACTTTGACTTATGATTTATTTATGTTGGAAAAATAATTTTCCAAGTTTTTTTGCAATATTATTTCCTCAAAAAATAATCCCCAGAATGTATTACTCGTTTTTTGGCTAAACCTCTTAGTTTCAGAGATTCCCTATTCGGGCATCCAAAATGCAGCACCCTGTACACCTCGATTCACTCCCTTTTCTAAACAGGTGAATAAGTTTTTACTTATTATTTTTTAAAAACCTAAAAAAAGCTTAGTGCATTTTTACAACTGCTAAGGAGCATATTCTCCAAATTTTTTGTTTCTATCTTCGTTTAAATATCTACACCCCATTTCACCCCCGTAGAGATTGAGTTTCGAAAAATCCTTTCTTAGTGGACCTGTACACCCTCTAAGGAACATATCTGCCAAATTTCATGTTTTTATTTTCGTTTAACGTACATATATACTCCGTTTCATCCCCTTTTCTAAGGGAGTAAATAAGTTTTTCCTTATTATTTTTGAAAAATTTCGTCTTAGTGCACCTTTACAACCGCTAAGGGAATTATTTTCCAAATGTTTTGTCCCTATCTTTGTTTAAATATTTACACCCTATTTCACCCCCGTTGAGATTGATTTTCCAAAAATTTTTTCTTAGCGGACCTGTACACCCTCTAAGGAACATATTTGCCAAATTTCATGTTTTTATTTTCGTTAAACGTATACAGGTGCGCCAAAACTCGCGCCCCAGAGAAAAATGCCATATAAGGTAAGATCCCAGGAACATGGAAAAAATGTTAAAAAATTTTTATCTATAAAAATCTTGGAAGTTATGAGCGTTTAAATTTTGCACTTCGACTGTATTTATTTCTGTTGGAAAAATTATTTTCCAAGTTTTTTTGCTATAGGCTATTAAAAGAGGAAACAAGGAAGCTGTATCCAAAATTGTAACTCCGTTCAATGTTATTTGTGGCTTTTATTGGCAAAATTTTTGTTTCTTTATTATATAATTGTAAAAAAACATATTCAAGATCATCAGTATCATTAAATAGATATAATTTTTTGACAGATAGAATTTTTTAAACATTTTTTTCATGTTCCTGGTATCTTACCTTACTTGAAAATTTTCTCTGGGACGTTTTAGATGTGGGAGTAGAAAAATAATTTTACATGTTCTTTTGCTACAGACTGAAACAAAGAAACTATATCTTGAATTGTAACTATGTTTAACGTTATTTGTACCTTTTATTGACAAAGTTTTGTACCTTTACTGAATAATTATGAAAAAACATACATGTACAAGATCATAAGTAACAATAGACATAAAAAATTTCAAATGTCAAAAAATAAATATGAACAATTTTTGACAGATAGAATTTTTTTAATGTTCTTGGTATCTTATCTTCCTTGTCATTTGTTTTTATCAATTATTTACAAAACACCTTGTAAAAAGAAGCTTGTCTTAACTAACCTATCAACCCACAGCCTAAACCGCTGGGGATGGGAACTTGACAATAGATACCTTTTATAACGTAGGCATTCAGTAAAAAAGGATTTTTGATGGTGTGTTCAGTTCGAAAGTTTGAAGTTATATCCATAAAAATTAGTATTTGGGCTTTCGGTTAAAAATGAAGAAATACGTGTTTTAAGATTTTTGAAAATTCCATCCCTAAGGAGGGTTAAACAGGGGTGAAAATTTGTTTAAGGGCATATTTTCATAAGTTATATGCATGAAATTTGGTTTTCAGCTTTTAGATAAAAATAAAGAAACACGTATTTTAGAGTTTTTGGAAATTCAACCTCTAAGGGGGTCAAACAGGGGATGAAAGTTTGTATAAAAATTCGCCAATTTTAAAGTTTCATCCATGAAAATTGGTACTTGGGCTTTCGGTAAAAAATTAAGAAACACGTGTTTCAGGATTTTTGGAAATTCCACCTCTAAATGGATGGAACAGGGGATGAAAGTTTTATAAAAATTTGTTATTTCCGTAAAAGTTGGTATTTGTAAAAAATACGTGTTTCAAGGTTTTTGGAAATCCCATCATCTTCAAAGGATTAAATAGAATATGGAAGTTTGTTTGGAATTCTAAGGGGGTGATATGGGGTGTAAACATTTAATCGCAGATATAAACAAAAAAATTGGTAGATATGTTCTTTAGAGGGTGCAGAGGTCCGATAAGAAAAGTTTTTTTGAAAATGCATCTACAAAGGGGTAAACTGGGGTATAAGCGTTTGAATATACAGGGTGCGAAGAAGAAGAATGCCATATAATGTAAGATAAGTAGAAAGGGCCACCCATTTAAGAAGTAATTAAAGTGATTAATGACAAATTAATGACATATTAATTGATAATTAATGACAAATTAATGATAGATTAATTGATAATTAATCACGTATTAATTGATTATTAATGACAAATTAATTGATGATTAACGATAAATTAATGACTCATCCAATTAGTGGTTGCATATAAGGTTTACTCAATGTGCGAATTTTCCCATTCAAATCGTCGAAGTGCCTTTGTGAAGTTGATCTCCAGGTGAAGTGTTTGTGTAATCTTTGTTACTGATTCAAGGTGAGTTTTTTTTTATTATTATTACACCAAATTATAACGGCCATCAATCTTTGATATAGATGACTTCCAAACGTGTGGCACCTCAACGTGTATCTTCAAAACGTTCCAAAATCTCAGAAGCGACTCCTGGTGAAAATTTGTTCTTGTCGTCGGGAATGTTTTCATCACCTTTTGAGGATTACGCACCCCTACTGAAGATTTATAATCCTGAACACACAACGGCGATTTGTTTTTCAATTGATACATTTGAAGATTTCTTAAATCAAATGGAGAAGATAAGAAAAGAAATGGGTTCCATTTCCGAGGGTCAAATATTGTGTATGTTAAGTAATTATGTTATTGTAATGTGTAAGCATCAAACACTTCAATTTTTATCGCGCAATTCAACTGTATACAAATCTCTATTTTTGGCTTGTGATACTGTGAACGTAGTTTTAAATATGGGTGAGCATTTGATGAGTCTCCTTCATTCCAGAAGACTCCAATATAAATTTTATCCTTGTTATCAAAATTTTATAAATCAAGCGGCATTAGAAGTGATGGAAAAAGGTAGTGAGGATTTTAATCAAAAATTGTTTGATTTAATTAAATGTAATTATGAACAAAATGGTACACTATATGAAATTGTACTAAAACTACCTGTAAATGTTAAACACGATGTCGATGCTAGAATTAAGTATTATAAGGAACACAACGATTATAATTGTTTGTAATATTAAAATGAATAAATATATCTAAGAAATACTCTTGAAAATTTTTTCCTCTATCCTATGTGTTTCCAATGTTAAATTAAGCGAATAAAATTGTGAATTAGTAATTAGGCCTACAAAAGACAGTTTGTCTAGACTCAAAAAGATTTCTACCTAAGGATGAGACGAGAAGTTGCTACATCAAATTGTGAAAACGGCTAGGGGGTAGATTAGAGAGATAGTAAATAATATGTCTATACGTAAAATCGTTTATACACAAATTTTTGTTAACAAGATTTCTATTTGTTCGCTAAATAAATTTATATCTACAAGCCTTACGATTACAATTTTTGCGAAAAATATGTTTATTACATATGAAATAAATAAATAAAATTTAAGTTACTGTACGTTTGAGCATTGTGAAAGATAAGTCAAAGCGGCGCTTAAGGATTAAAAGATTATACCTTTCGGATACGGTCGGTCGAAGCATCTAATGAAGCGAGAATAATGTGTCTCGACATTAACGGTTATGGAGAAAATTTCTTAAAAAGTTTTTCGCTAATTAAAGAATTAATACCAAACCCGAACTATATTTTAATTATTCCGTAGTGAATAATTGTGTCTAAATATAAAATCCACTGGCGGACACGGAATTTTGGACGATTTGTCATTCGACTGACATAAAAATGTAAAACAGATCTTAGACAAGTAACATCATTTTCGGTTTTTGTAATTTTATCCTGATATTGCTATTGTGTCGGAAAATCGAAAACTTTCAAACGTAATAACAATAAAGCGTTGTCATAAATTTGATGTCCAAAATTCCATCACTGTAATAATAATATACTAGAAAAAAAAAAATGTTGTGGAAATTTTTGTTTTGATAAATAAATAAAATAGCGGTATCGTTTTTACAATGAAATGAGTTTATTGCAAATAAACTAGAGGATCTTTGTTAAAAATTAATTAATTCATTAATTACACTTATCAATCTTTGATATCCTAAATTGTAACATGTATTACAACAACAACAAATAAAATATTTCGAATTTTTAACGAATATTTCCGGTTTATACACGTTTTCAAAAAATGCCAACGTTCTGGCGCCTGGTGCTTAAGTCATTACCGAAAATTCTGCCTATATATACAGGGTTGAAATGTTTAGAAAACCTCATAACGTTTCGTGCGTTGCTTGACGTCATTTCGTGTTGTTACTTTGTGTGTTTGTTTGTTTGTTTTTTTTTTTTTAAAGCATCATCCATCATGGATAGTTTCAAAATTTTCATTGATACCCTTACGATTCCGGAAATTTTAACGATGTATAGACAAAGAATGTTTCGGCAATACCGTTTGCTAAAAACGGTAAAAGAGGTGATGGACGAAAAAATTATTTTTGGTGAATTTGTGTTGATACCGTATTTAGAAATGTTGTATCGGCAACTCTCGAGGGAGATTCTGTATTTTGGTGAGTACTTTTTTCAATATCAATATTGCATGTATTGTTGATAAAAATTTTATAGAGCAACGTAGCATGCCTAGTCCTGCGCCAATTCCGCGACGAAAACTCGCAGCATCGAAAAGGTCTCGGGAGGTGATCGAGTTGAGCGACGACGAGTATGATGATATGCGTGTTAATAAGAGAGGTAAGTTTTTTTTTATTTAATTCAACTTCAATGTTATTACGAATAAATATATTTTAGTAAAACCGCAAAACCGTCACCAAGTCATCAATCAACAAACCGCTCCTGAAACTATTAGTTTTTGTAATTCGTCAATTACTACAACATGTAAGTTATTGTATACTGTGTAAAAAAAAATAACATACTTAAATGATTTTTCTAATAATTATAGTGCAAAGAGGTGGAGGCGCTACGGATGAAGTACCAAAGTATCAAAACCCCATGCCGTCGACATCAAGACAAAACGGTAAGACATCTGGTTAATGTTGTTTTTATCAATTTGTTTACGAAAATCTTTATGTATCTAGATGCCTCCGACGCTCTGGATGAATTGCTTAGTATACTAGATGAGCCAATAATATGTAAGTTATTAGTTGTAATGTGTGTAAAAATACCATAGTTATCGTTTCTAATACGTAGTGCAAAGTGGTGAAGGCGGTTCCGGAGAAATTATAAATGACAACCAGGCAACAACTTCCCAACTAAACGGTAAGATACATTGACATTTTTTGTTGTTGTTTATAAAAAACAAATATCTGTCCAGATGAATCTCTTCGGTCCTATTTTAATAAACTTGATGAGTCGACGAATTTTATCAAACGATTCAACTTAACATCGCGATGCATCAAATTAACTTTTAAGGAGTTTGAAGATGTTGCAAAGGAGAATCCCATAGCACACATAAAAGTAATAAATATTAAAATAATAATAACAAATTTGGTTCTAATTATGATATGTTTTTCAGAAATGTATTAACGAAGTGTTGGCCTACATTGGTCACAACTGCCTGGGAGATGACATGGTCGGTGTGATGATTGAAAATGAAGAGTTCCCTGATAAACCCATCGGCATCAGCTTTAGGAAGTACAGGGAGCTAACATCTGATGTTATGCTTAACGTGATCGGGAAGGTACTTCAAAGCAACGCAACCTTCTTCACCAACGATTTGTTAAGCATAAAATTCGACCAAGTACGTCTACCCGTAGGCCAGGGTTTCAGGGACAAAAACATCCGGTATGTCACATTTGAAGATTATAGTATCGGTAAAAATAGTATTTTTGTAATAGAAAATGACGGTAATAAAATTATTACATAAATATGTTTGGCGTATGCATTGTGCGTGGCAAAAACGTTCGCGGACAATAAGTTTGATAAATAGTGTTTAAAAGAGTATAAAAAATTGTCAGGTAAAGCAAAACTTCATCGAGATGCAATGAATTTGTGTAATGCCGCAGTAGTTGACCTTACAAACGGTGGAAATTTTGAACATATTGATTTATTTCAAAAATATTTAAATCAGTACACGATTGTCGTATATAATAGCCGCGATGGACGTTCACTCTACTACGAGGGTGAAAGACACGACGGTCGACCTTGCTTAAATTTAATAATGGAGAATAATCATTATAACGTAATTTTAAGTTTAACGGGTGCATTCACTGCAAAGTATTTCTGCGAAAGATGTTCACTGCCTTATAATAAAAAAGAGGGGCATTGGAAATGTCCGTATACTTGCGCGTATTGTCACAGTAAACCTCCTTGCGACCTTCGTTCAAATTCGATAACATGTAATCTTTGTGCTCGCGACTTTAAGGGGCAAACGTGTTTCGACAACCACATAAAAAATTCTCTATGCAATAAATTTAAAAAATGCCTCCAATGTTTAACAGTGTATTGGTTAAAAAATAAGAGCCCTCATGTTTGTGGATCAAAATATTGTAATAAATGCAAAGAACATAAATCTATACGACACTCGTGCTATATACTACCTAAAAGTAAAATTGTGGAAAAATATGAAAACGATCTAAAAACATTTCTTTTAGTATTTTATGATTTTGAAACTACCCAAGATCGTAAATTTAAACATAATTTATATCAACATGAAGTGAATCTTTGTGTAGCACAACAAGTTTGCCGTTTATGCGTGGACAATCAAAATATAAATGAAAATTGCGATAATTGTGGAGAACGCATAAAAATATATCGTGGTGAAAAAATTTTAGAGAACTTTCTTAATGATATAGTTGAAAAATCTAAACGATTTATGGTGACTGCTGTCGCTCATAATATGCGTAGTTTTGACGGATGTTTTATACTACGTCAAATGTTTAATGACGCATCGCGCTGGTCGCCAGAGGTCATTAGAAATGGTACCAAATTATTATCAATTAAATGTGGTCCATCAATAAGATTTATTGATAGTTTAAACTTTATTGCTCTACCATTATCGCAATTTTCAAATGCGTTTAAATTAACACAATCAAAAGGCTATTTTCCACATTTTTTCAATACAAGAAATAATCAAAATTACGTAGGTCCTCTCCCTGACGTAAAATATTACGGCTGCAATACGATGAAAACAAGTGACCGTACAAAATTTTTAACATGGTATGAGGACCAAGTAGCTGCCAATCATGTATTTAATATGGAAAATGAAATTGTTAAATATTGTATTGCAGACGTTGATGTGTTACGTCAGGGATGTTTGAAATTTCGTAAATGTTTTATAGAAACAAATAATGTTGATCCACTACTTGAATGTATCACCATAGCCTCTGCATGTAATTTGGTGTACCGGCGTAATTTTCTCAAACCCGGGACAATTGGTATCATACCAGTGGGTGGGTACAGATCTAAAGATAAACAATCACGTATTGCAATTGAATGGCTTATGTGGGAAAGTCAAGAACGACCATTTCCATAGAGCATTCGGGAAATGGTCGCGAAGTACGTTTGAAAGAAGGTTTGCTTGTTGACGGGTACTGTGAACAGAATCGTACAGTTTTTGAATTTCATGGTTGTTTTTGGCACGGTTGTCAGAAATGTTATCCAAATCAGACGGCCTCATTAAGTAATAAAGATGATGCATTATTTATGCGTCGTGAATCAACTGTTTCTAAAGAAAAACGAATTAAATCATTTGGGTATACCGTTGTTACAATGTGGGAGTGTGAGTTTAGAAATCGCGTAAAAACTAATCAAAATTTAAAATTATTTATTAGTAACTTGGACATTTTCAACGCCTCGCCTTTGAATCCTCGCGAAGCATTTTTCGGTGGCCGTACCAATGCATGTAAATTGTACTATTCGTGTGACAAATCCGAAAACGAGGTCATTAAGTATTTCGATGTTTGCTCTCTATATCCTTTCGTTAACAAATACGGTAAATATCCTCTTGGTCATCCGACTAAAATCTATGTTGGTGGAAACGAATGTTCAAAAGTCGATATGAATAATTTTGAGGGTTTAATTAAATGTTCGGTTCTACCACCAACAAATTTATATCATCCGGTTTTATCTTATAGATCAAACGGTAAATTAACTTTCCCTTTGTGTCGTATGTGT